ATAGAATTAAAGATGGTAACAATAACAAATAAACATAGAACAAAATAAGAATAATAATTACCGTACTGGACTATCAAGGTGAAATTAGATAAAAAATGAAAGTAAAAGCAAGCTACTGTGCAGAAAGATAAAATCACAGGAAATAACAGATTTGTGCAAATTGTTTCAGACTCAGTCATTAAGTCCAGCACAGGAAAATGACAATGAATCAACAATTATTATTATTGGTTATTATTGTGTAATGATTGTGAGGTAGAGTTGTTTGATGTTCAACACAAACATGGATGGTTATCATGATTGTTGGGAGCAGTGATGGTTGTAGAGTCTAACAGCTGATGGGAGGAAGGATCTGCGGTAACGCTCCTTTGTGCGTTCAGGATGCAGCAGTTTGTCACTGAAGCAGCTCTGCAGATCAGCTACAGTTCCACTGGGTGGTGTTATTTTAGTCTTCTGTCTCCCACCACCTGCACTGGGTCGAGGGGGCATCCCAGCACAGAGCTGGTCTTCCTGATGAGCTTATCCAGCTGCTTCCTCTCAGCTGCAGATAAGCTGCTGCTCCAACAAACGATGCCATAAAAGATAAGATACGAGTCGAAACTGGATTGTTTGGATGTCTCTTAATGATGAGACGAGATCTTTCATTTGAAACTGGTGCCTTGTGGAAAAACTGGCAGAAAAACTCTTATTTCCACAATCTTTACTGGTCTTTTAGCTTCATGTTGAGCTCAGGTTATCTTCAGGAAACGTTCTGGTTCATTTTTTTATTTTTTGTCTTCAGCAAACCTTCCTCCGACGCTGGCCAAGTCTCAGGTCAGCAGCGTTCGAAAGAACCTGAAGCTGCACCTGGTGGCGGTGCTGAAGCACCCCTGCAGCCTGGAGTTCCAGGGTCAGATCAGCACCCTGCTGCTGGACCTGGGCATGCCTCAGAGCGAAATCGCCCGCTACACCCCCGCGCCGCGGGAGCAGCGCAAGAGGCCTCGTTACGAGCAGTACGCCGAAGGAAAGAAGGTCAAGATAGGTGAGTGGGCGCCGTTTAACGGGGTTTCTGGTGTCGTCTGTGACCGTCTGAGGACCGCCGGTCTGCTTTCAGAGCCGCCGCTCATTGAGGATGATGAGGACAAAGAGGAGCCGGTCCCCCTCGTGGCGCCGAAGCCGGTGGTGGTTCCCGTCGCTCAGTCGGCCATCGACCTGACGGCAGAGTTCCTCCACCCTCTGCTGACCCCTGACAACGTAGCCAACATGGTGAGCTGCCGCCGCCGCCGCAGGCTGCTTCCTGTCGACTCCACCTCACTTCCTGTCCCGCCCCCTCCAGGTGCTCATCAGCATGGTCTACCTGCCCGACGTCATGCCCGCCTCCTTCCAGGCCACCTACACGCCCGTGGAGTCGGCCGGCACCGACGCTCAGATCAAACATCTGGCTCGGCTCATGGCCACGCAGATGACYGCCGCCGGGATCGGACCCGGTCAGGCCCGGAACGCTGAGCTTTAACGCAGGTAAAACAGGAAGTGGGTTCTGATTTCACCTGTTCTGCTTCAGGTCTGGAGCAGTGCAAGGCCACCAAAGAGGAACCAGCTGACCCAGAATCTGCTGCTGGGGACTTCCTGATCAAACGTAAAGTCGCTCCTGTCATGGTGGGTCAGGCCATCTCTGTGGTGGGGGGGTACCAGGAGAAACCCACCTCCTCTGACCTGTCTGCAGCCAAGAGGCTCCCTGAACCCATCCTGCCCTCCGCCCAGACCAAGTGAGTCCTGACACCAGGTCCTCGACAGCGCCGGCGTTCTCAGCGCCTCACGCTCATCTGTTTGTTTGTTTGTTTTCCAGGATGGCGGGGGCCGGCGGGAGGAAAAAGGTGTTCCGGTTGGCAGACGTGGTCCAGCCCTTTTCAGACTCGAAGATCGAAGACCTGACCTCCAAGGCTGTGAGGCGGATTTTATTTTCAGAGAAGGCGATCGCTCAGAGCGGGATGTCTCATGTAGGTCGAACATCTTACCTGCTGCAGATAGCTCTTTGTTTCTGTTTGTGTTCGTTAGGAATGAACATCTTACCTGCTCCAGATAGCTCTTTGTTTCTGTTTGTGTTCGTTAGGAATGAACATCTTACCTGCTCCAGATAGCTCTTTGTTTCTGTTTGTGTTCGTTAGGAATGAACATCTTACCTGCTCCAGATAGCTCTTTGTTTCTGTTTGTGTTCGTTAGGAATGAACATCTTACCTGCTGCAGATAGCTCTTTGTTTCTGTTTGTGTTCGTTAGAGATGGTTCTGATGTTTAGGCTTCAGCAAAGACAAAAACATTAAAGCTCGGCTGGATTTATTGCCACAGAGATAAAATTTGGAGCGTTAGCTGCTGAGCTTCCTGACTTGCTGTGATCCGTGTCTCAGGTCCGGGTGAAGCTCCTGTCCCGGCTCGTCACGCAGTTCGAGGGGATGATGAAGGAGGACGTCCTGGAGTTCATCCTGGACGACATCAGGGCGAGGAGCGACCTGGCGTTCTCGCTGCTCTACCAGGAGTACAACTCCTACCTGAGCCAGCTGCCCTCAGGGCTGCTGGACAGCTACGACCACTGCCTCTACACGCTGCTGTCGGGCCTGCAGGAGAAACCTGAGCAGCGGGACGGGTGAGACTGACTGGTCTGGTCTGGTCTGGTCCAGTCTGAGCTAGATGAATTTAAAACTGTGTCTCTTTCAGGCTCTTCACCAAGCTGGTCCTGGAGGCGCCCATCATCACAGAGTCTGCGCTGGAAGTGATCCGACGTTACTGTGAGGATGAGGTAAAAACACGTCGTCTCAAGTTCTGTTGTGTGGTGCAGCATGAGGGCCAGAATTAAGACTGTTGTGCTGCGTGCTTGTAGCAGGAGGCTATATCTGTTCCTAACCAGCTATCGATCTGATTAATGATAGATCGGCACCGCTAACTGAGCAGCTGGCACCGCTAACTGAGCAGCTGGCACCGCTAACTGAGCAGCCGGCACCGCTAACTGAGCAGCCGGCACCGCTAACTGAGCAGCTGGCCCCGCTAACTGAGAGGCCGGAGCTGGCAAATGAGAAGGAGACTATTCATTTGTGTTAGCATCAGAGAGGCTAGCGACTAGCATGGATATTCCGGCTTTAGCATTGGATAGACTAGTGAATTGCCTCGATAGCCTGGCGTTAGCATTGGAAAGGCTAGCGACTAGCATGTATATTTTAGTGTTGGCATTGGTGAGGCTAGCGACTAGCATTGATAGGCTGACATTAGCATTGGAGAGGCTAGCGACTATCATTGATAGGCTGACATTAGCATTGGAGAGGCTAGCGACTAGCATTGATAGGCTGACATTAGCATTGGAGAGGCTAGTGACTAGCATTGATAGGCTGACATTAGCATTGGAGAGGCTAGCGACTAGCATTGATAGGCTGACATTAGCATTGGAGAGGCTAGTGACTAGCATTGATAGGCTGACATTAGCATTGGAGAGGCTAGCGACTAGCATGGATAAGCTGGCGTTAGCATTGGAGAGGCTAGTGACTAGCATTGATAGGCTGACATTAGCATTGGAGAGGAGCTACAAGGATGTAGCGCCACTGACTAATAGTTCAGTCTGGTTCTGTTGACCCATCTCTCAGATGGTTCTGAATCTGTTTCAGTCTCGGGTTTACCTGGGCATGACGACGCTGAAGGAGCTGATCGACAAACGTCCCTCCAGACAGTTCCAGTACCTGCACGTCCTCCTGGACCTCAGCTCACACGAGAAGGACAAGGTAATGCTCCGGACCGGACCGTGGACCAGCGGTGCTGGTTCTGATCCGGTTCAACAGCTGTGTTGCGTTCCAGGTGCGCTCCATGGCGCTGTCCTTCCTGAAACGCATGTACGAGAAGGACCAGCTCAGGGACTACGTGGAGAGGTTTGCCCTGAACTACCTGCAGCTCCTCGTTCACCCGAACCCACCGACTCTGCTGTTTGGAGCCGACAAGGACACAGGTTCTGGTTCTGGTTCTGGKTCATTTCGCTCCTCGGGTACTCTGATTGGAGGAAGTATCCAGACTAAAAGTAAACTTTGAATCCCTCCTGTGGTTGTGAACAGAGGTGGCGGCTCCTTGGACTGAAGACACGGTGAGRCAGTGTCTCTTCCTCTACCTGTCCCTGCTGCCTCTGAACCACCGGCTGGTCCACGAGCTGGCCTCCGTTTACACCGAGGCYATCGCCGACATCAAACGCAGCGTGCTCCGAGCCATCGAGCAGCCCGTGAGTCTGACTCTTTCATCCTGCAGGTTTCAGGTTCCGGTCTGATCTGGTCTGGTCTCTCGTAGATCCGGGGGATGGGCATGAACTCTCCTGAGCTTCTGCTCCTGGTGGAAAACTGTCCTAAAGGGGCGGAGACTCTGGTGACGCGCTGCCTGCACATCCTGACTGATAAAGGTAGAGACAAGAAAGTGGAGCTGTGAGGTTTCACCTGAGCTGTGAGGMTTCACGTCCTTTTTGTCCCTGCAGTGCCTCCGTCCCCTGAGCTGGTGGARCGAGTCCGAGACCTGTACCACAAACGAGTTCCAGACGTCCGCTTCCTGATCCCCGTCATCAACGGGTTGGAGAAGGTGACCGCTGAGCTCCTCGTTACCACTCGTCTCCTGGATTTGTGTTTTAGCTACCTTTAGCTTTTAGCTGCTGTTTTATTTGAAAATACCATTCTGCTTCTTTTAGCTACTTTTAGCTTTTAGCTGCTATTTTATTTGAAAATACCATTCTGCTTGTTTCAGCTACTTTTAGCCTTTAGCTGCTGTTTAATTATGAAAATACCATTCTGCTTGTTTCAGCTACTTTTAGCCTTTAGCTGCTGTTTAATTATAAAAATACCATTCTGCTTGTTTTGGCTACTTTTAGCCTTTAGCTGCTGTTTTATTTGAAAATACCATTCTGCTTCTTTTAGCTACATTTAGCTTTTAGCTGCTATTTAATTTTAAAATACCATTCTGCTTCTTTCAGCTACTTTTAGCCTTCAGCTGCTGTTTAATTATAAAAAATACCATTCTGCTTGTTTCAGCTACTTTTAGCCTTTAGCTACTGTTTTATTTGAAAATACCATACTGCTTTTTTCAGCTACTTTTAGCCTTCAGCTGCTGTTTAATTATAAAAA